AAGATCGCGCCATTGCACTACAGCCTGGGTAACAAGAGCGAAACTCCGTCTCAAAAAAAAAGAAAAGGAAAGAAAAGAAAGTCCCTGCATTCTCAACGCCATCTGCTGGGGGAGGGTGCTTCCAGTCTATTCTCTACTCTGCCGCAGTCATCTGAAGGCCTGCACTGCCTGTGGCTAACTCAGCTGCACTCGCTGGACACTTGGATCTCCACCTGTCTACTCTATGTCCTGAATCTTTATTCTCCCAACTATGGGAGAGAAAGTTTGCTGATTCTCAAATCCCCAAAACCCCACCACTACTCTGTGCTTTCACCTCTCCAGTGTGCTCTCAAGCTGGAGGGCCCCCAGTCTGCTGGGTTGGCCACAGTCTACCTCAATCAAGAACCACCTTAGCCAGGAGTGGTTGCTCATGCTTGTAATCCCAGCTCCAGCACTTTGGGAGCCTGAGGCAGAAGAATCACTTGAGGCTGAGTTCAAGACCAACCTCGGCAACACAGCGAGACCCCCATCTCTACAACAAAATACAAAGCCAGGCATAGTGGCACACATCTGCAGTCCCAGCCTGAAGCTACCTGGGAGGCTGAGTCAAGAAAGTCGCTTGGGCCCAGGAGTTCGAGGCTGCAGTGGGCTATGATCAGGCCACTGTGCTCCAGTACGAGCAACAGAGTGAGACCTCGACTAGGAAAATAAAACAAAAAGAACCACCATGGCCAGGCCCAGTGGCTCTCACCTGTAATCCCAGCACTTTGGGAGGCAGAGACAGGCAGATCACTTGAAGCTGGGAGTTCGAGACTAGCCAAGGCACATGCCAAGACCCCAACTCTACTAAAAACACAACAATTAGGCATGGTGGCCTATGCCTGCAATTCCAGCTACCTGGGAGGCTAAGGCATGAGAATCACTTGAACCTGGGAGGCAGAGGTTGCAGTAAGCTGAGATTGTGCCACTGCACTCCAGCCTGGGCAACTCAGCAAGACTCTACCTCAAAAAAAAAAAAAAAAAAAAAAAACAAACACTGATACACATTGGCTCTGACTTCAGCCTTTTTCTGCTTCACTAATCTGACAGGCAACCATCTAGTTCTGGTTTTTGTATCATTTTTCTCCCATCTTTTACTTGACTTCTCAGATGTTCACGTCCTAGTTCTCCTATTAGATCACAAGCTCCCTGAGGGCAGGGGCCTAGCACAATGCCTGGTACACAGGGACAGCATCACCTTTGGAATGTGAGAGTGGAGAGTCTATTTTCAGGTGTCGGGCTGGGCAAGATCAGTGGCTCAGGAGCTCACTATGGTCTGACGGATGGAGAGGACAGGGAAGGGGCAATCACTCACGCAATCTGGAGAGCTCGGGTGCCCAGCACGCGGGCTCGCTCATACTTGGTCATGTATGGTGTAGTGATTCGTTTCTGGTTGGCCTGTGGTCGCTCCCCAGAGGGGAGGATCTCGACATTCTCTTGGCCTTCCTGGACAAGACGAAAAAGAGAAAATCTCAGGTGGCATTTTTGGGTTACAGGGAGGGTGATAATGACAACAATCATAATCACTGCTACTGCCACCATTAATGCTTACTGCATGCCAGGGGACCAGGTGACTGCTTCCTAACACCTCATGTAGCCCTTACAATAACCTTGTGAGGCAGGAAGGTGCTGTTTAACTTGTCAGTGAACTAACTGCCCCAGAAGCCATAGGCTGTGGACCACATGGACAAAAGCTTTCAGGCCTAGCCCGCAGGGCTGTTCTGCTGTGCAAGACTGGAACACAGCCCACTCTAACCGGGAATGCTTACGCCGGCGGATAGCGGGGCCCTGACCACAAACAGAAGGCAGATGCATTCAGGTAATTATCACCTGCCAGACTATTTGGCAGCCTGGGCCGCAGAGGTGGGAGCCTGAGGCTGAATACTGACCTCTTCAGCATTCTCCAAGTCATCTAGCCCTTCATCCTCTTCCACATCATCAAAGTCATCACCATCAAAACTGTACAGGAAGAATAAATCAGTTAGTTAGAGTATCACTTACCAGAAACAAAGAGGGGCCGACCGTGGTGACTCACACCTATAATCCTGGTACTTTGGGAGATGGAAGTGGGTGGATCACTTGAGGCCAGGAGTTCGAGACCAGCCTAGCCAACATGGTGAAACCTCATCTCTACTAAGAATAGAAAAATTAGCTGGGCATGGTGGCACATGCCTGTAATACCAGCTATTCAGGAGGCTGAGGCACAAGAATTGTTTGAACCCAGGAGGCGGAGGTTGAAATGACCCAAGATCTTACCACTGCACTCCAGCCTGGGTGACAGAACAAGAACCTGTCTCAAAAAAAAAAAAATCAAAGAGGGCAGAGATATATGTCACGCCCAGTATATAGGAAGCACTTAATAAATATCTACTTAATAAGTAAATCAGCCGGGCATGGTGGCTCACGTCTAATCCCAGCACTTTGGGAGGCTGAGGCAGGTGGATCACTTGAGGTCAAGAGTTTGAGACCAGCCTGGCCAACATGGAGAAATCCTGTCTCTGCTAAAAATGCCAAAAATGAGCCAGGTGTGGTGGTTGGTGCCTGTAATCCCAGCTATTCAGGAGGCTGAGGCATGAAAATCACTTGAACCTGGGAGGCAGAGGTTGCAGTGAGCCGAGGTCACACCACTGCACTCCAACTTGGGCAACAGAGTGACACTCCTTCTCAAAATAGTAATAATAATAATAAGTAAATCAGACTTTTGTTCTATTTTATTCCTTCAATCTTTCCCCATCTGCCCCCAAATTTTGTTAGGACTCATTCGTCATCGCTGTTTGCCTCTCTACTGGCTCATTCTCATCAGCTTTTTTTTTTTTTTTTTTTTTTGAGACAGAGTCTTACTATGTCACCCAAGCTGGAGTGAAGTGGTGCAATCTCGGCTCACTGCAACCTCCGCCTCCTGGGTTCAAGCAATCCTCCTCTCTCAGCCCCCCAAGTAGCTGGGATTACAGGCATACACCACCATGCCCAGGTAATTTTTGTATTTTTAGTAAAGACAGGGTTTCACCATGTTGATCAAGGTGGTCTCGAACTCCTAACCTCAGGTGATCCACCCTCCTTGGCCTCCCAAAGTGTTGGGATTAAAGGTGTGAGCCACCGCTCGGCCCATCAGTATTTCAACATGTGCTTTTCCTCATCTAAAAAAAAAAAAAAAAAAAAAACTCTTACTTCTCTTCTCCCTCCCCCTGTCCCTCACTGTCTATTAATTCCTCTCTTCCCATTCTGTCATAATCCCACTCCAAAAGGCCTTTCACACCAGCAGCTCCGTCAAAACCACTCTTGCCACAAGTTCATTAATGATCTCCACGTTGCTAAATCCAATGGCCAATTCTCAATCTCATTTAGCCTGACCTACCAGCTGACACATTAGGCCACTCATTCTCCTCACTTGACTCCAACGACACCTCACTCTCTTGGTGTTCCCCACCTCCCTGGCTTCTGTTTTCCTCCAAGCACTCAGCGTTTGAATGCCTGAACGCTCAGTCACGGGTCATCTCCTTTTCTCTACTGATACTGAGAATGCTGTAGCAATCCCAGACGTTTCTTATTTTTATCTTCACACTAGATCTCTTTGTGCCCACACATCCAACAGATTTTTTTTTTTTTTTTTTTTTTTTGAGACGGAGTTTCGCTCCTGTTACCCAGGCTGGAGTGCAATGGGGCGATCTCGGCTCACCGCAACCTTCGCCTCCTGGGTTCGGGCAATTCTCCTGCCTCAGCCTCCTGAGTAGCTGGGATTACAGGCACGCGCCACCATGCCCAGCTAATTTTTTGTATTTTTAGTAGAGACGGGGTTTCACCATGTTGACCAGGATGGTCTCGATCTCTCGACCTCGTGATCCACCCACAAATCTCGGCCTCCCAAAGTGCTGGGATTACAGGCTTGAGCCACCGCGCCCAGCCCAACAGATACTTTTTTTGGCTCTACCTTTAAAATAGTAATATATGCAGAATTCAAAACCACTTCTCACCACCTCTACTCCTACCACCCTACCACAAGCTTTCACCTAGATTACTGCAACCAGGCCGGGCACGGTGGCTCACACCTGTAATCCCAGCACTTTGGGAAGCTGAGACGGGTGGATCACTTGAGATCAGGAGTTCGAGACCAGTCTGGCCAGCATGGTGAAACCCCATCTCTGCTAAAAGCAAAACAGCCAGGTGTGGTGGCGCATGCCTGTAATCCCAGCTACTCAGGAGGCTGAGGTAAGAGAATCCCTCCTTGAACCTGGGCGGCTGAGGCTGCAGTAAGCCAAGATCGCGCCACTGCACTACAGAGCCTGGGCGGCAGAGCGAGACTCCGTCTAAAAAAAAAAAAAAAAAAAAAAAGATTACTGCAACCAACCCTTCCCGACTTTTATTTAATGCCACCGGAGCTGCCCCAGACCCTCCTCTGGAGAACTCCTATACTACATACTTCTGGACTGGGGAAGCTCACGCGACCCCCATTGCCTGTTTACTTACTTATGGGCCTGTGGCCCCTCTTCTAGAAAGTGAGCACGTGGAGGGCAGGGACAATTCCTCATTCACCTCAATATTCCCACTGCATGACAGAGCCCGGCTCACTTAAAGACACCTTTTCTACGGATCCTCTCCGGACCCTCGAGCCAGGGCCTTCCTGTGCCCGGTGTCGGGTCGGGTCTATGCTCCTGGGTCCCCGCCCTGCCCTTCCCCGGCTCCGCCTGCCCCTCAGGCCCCAGTCCCCTCAGATATTGCCCCTCGGCGCCAGGCTCCTCAGCCGCCTTCGACCCACGCCCTGCCTCATCCGCTCCTTCCGAGGTTGCCGCAAAGGCCACTTCGCTCTCGCACTCACTTGTCCTCGTTGTCTGACATGACACCCTAGTCTCCGCTACGCCGCTGCTCCCCAGTACCGCGCGGAGACCCGCAAACGGCTCCACTACGACTCGCGCGGCGCCACGATTATCCTGCGCTTGCGCCGTGACCCAGAGGAAATCACTTCCGGGAAGCAGGACGGCGCGGGGGAGAAAGAGAGCGCATGCGTTGGCTTCCGGTGCGCGTTACCCTGGTAGCCACAGTCGCTACCAGCAGCCCAGATCGCGTAGTATTTCTACGTGGCGCCGGTGCTGCTGCGGCTGTAAAGCAGTGGTCACCGCCTCCGGGAGCTCACCTCTATGTGGAGAAGGGAGCGCCCAGAGGAGGTCTTAGGGTGAAATTTCAATTTTGGCATATCTCTCAGTGGGTACTGTTGTGACCATGGCTATGTTAACACTCCCTTCCTCCCGAGGGGACTTCCCTGCCACGGGCGCTGGGTCAGAATGAGGACTGTGTGTGTGTATCTGACTGTGTCCGAATGGGAGGTTTGGGCACTGTCTCGATATTAAATGGCGGCATCACGATTCTCTGGCTCGATCCCCGCTTCCAGACTTCTAGGGTGGTGGGCGTGGGGAAAAGGAAATTAGAGATAGGAGACGGAGGGTGTTTCCTTGCGTCCTTCCCTCCTCAGGGTCCTTCCATGGCTTCACAGAAGATAGAAGTAGTGACCAAAGCAACGGGGTTTCGGCGCCGCCCCAAGAAGACCACTTACACCCCGGGGACCTGCGAGCTGCTCAAAGGTCAGTGCTTTACAGCAGCGATCCCCAGCCTTTTGGGCACCAGAGACCGCTGTCGTGGAAGACAATTTTCCCACTGACGGGGGTGTGGGGAACACTTTCGGGATGAAACTGTTCCACCTCAGATCATCAGGCATTAGTTAGATTCTCATAAGGAGCCTGCAACCTAGATCCCTCGCGTGCGCAGTTCACAATACGGTTCACGCTCCTATGAGAATCTAAGGCTGCCACTGACCTGAAAGAAGGCGGTGATGCTCGCTAGCCCGCTGCTCACCCTCTGCTGTGCGGCCCTGTTCCTAACAGACCAGGGACTGGTGTCAGTCCATGAACGGGGGACAGGGAGAGGTGGGGGACGGGTGGAAACCCCTGAGTTAAAGGATGAGAGAAGAATGGTGGTAGTTACCCTCTGTAACTCATTTCTCCCCTACCTGACCTATGGCTTAGCAATTATTGCTATTTTCCTTTACAGATAAGGAGACTGGGGTTCAGGAAGCTTCCAAGTTCTACTGCATATACCTTAGTGGGCAGGAGCGGGGGAACGAGGGAAAGTTCAAGGTGCTATAGCTTGCCAAAAGTCAACTAACATTTTTAGAGTAATTAATTCCTATACATGCTTTAGATCACACTTTCAACTTTCCCGGGAAGACCTGTCTCCTTCTTACCACCACAGTAGGCTCAACTGTTGTGTGCCCGCACGCATCTTCCTTCACTGGGCTCAGTTACTTGGTGTCCCATCTATCCCTCTAGGCCATGAATTTTATCAGGCCGAAACCGTGTCTGTTTCGGCCTGATAAAATTGTACCTCCAGCCCCTGAAACATGATGAACAAGTGTTTGTGTGTTCTTTTACTCAACCACGTTTTGCTTTTTGAGACGGAGTCTCACTCTGTCACCCAGGCTGGAGTGCAGTGGCGTGATCTCATCTCACTGCAACCTCCACCTCCCGGGTTCAAGCGATTCTCCTGCTGCAACCTCCCAAGGAGCTGGGATTGCAGGAGCACACCACCACGCCCAGTTTTTTGTTTTTTGGGTTTTTTTTTTTTTTTTTTTTTTTTGCATTTTTAGTAGAGATGGCGTTTCACCATGTTGGCCAGGATGGTCTCGATCTCCTGACCTTGTTGTGATCTGCTCACCTCAGCCTCCCAAAGTGTTGGGATTACAGGTGTGACCCACAGCACCCAGCCAACATTTTTTCTGTTTTTGAAACACAGTTTTGCTCTTGTTACCCAGGCTGGAGTGCAATGATGCCATCTCGGCTCACCACAATCTCTGCCTCCGAGGTTCAAGCGATTCTCCTGCCTCAGCCTCCAGAATAGCTGGGATTACAGGCATGTGCCACCGCACCTGGCTAATTTTGTATTTTTAGTAGAGACAGGGTTTCTCCATGTTGGTCAGACTGGTCTCAAACTCCTGACTTCGGATGATTCGCCCGCCTCAGACTCCTAAAGCGCTGGGATTATAGGCATGAGCCACCGCGCCCCACCGACAACATTTTTTTTTTTTTTTTGAGACCGAGTTCGCTCTTGTTACCCAGGCTGGAGTGCAGTGGCGTGATCTCAGCTCACCGCAACCTCCGCCTCCTGGGTTCAGGCAATTCTCCTACCTCAGCCTCCTGAGTAGCTGGGATTATAGGCACGCCCACCATGCCCAGCTACTTTTTGTATTTTTAGTAGAGATGAGGTTTCACCATGTTGACCAGGATGGTCTCGATCTCTTGACCTCGTGATCCACCCGCCTCGGCCTCCCAAAGTGCTGGGATTACAGGCTTGAGCCACCGCGCCCGGCCCACTGACAACATTTTTAAGTCTACCATGTGCTTTAGACTGTTTTAGGTGCTGGGGATACAGCAGTGAAAAACGAAAAGGAAGAAAAAGTATTTGTTAACAAAAGGCAGAAATTTTATTAAACCAGCAAAAATTCTTATCATGAGCTAAATAGAAAGATAAATAATAAAATAAAATATGTAGAATTTTAGGTGGTGATAAGTGCTATATAAAAAACAAAGCAGGGGCTGGGCCTAGTGTAATCCCAGCACTTTGGGAGGCTGAGGCAGGTGGATCACAAGGTCAAGAGATCGAGGCCATCCTGGCCAACATGGTGAAACCTCCGTCTATATTAAAAATACAAAAATTAGCTGGGCATGGTGGTGCACACCTGTAGTCTCAGCTACTTGGGAGGCTGAAGCAGGAGAATCACTTGAACCTGGGAGGCAGAGGTTGCAGTGAGCCAAGACTGCACCATTGCACTTCAGCCTAGTGACACAGCGAGACTCCGTCTCAAAAAAAAAAAAAAAAAAAAGCAAAGAAGAAAGTAAAAACTAAGGAGGAAAGATAGAGAAAGCATGTTCAGTGCAGAATGGGGCTCATATGTAGGGTTTTAAATTTCAGTAGGATGTCGGGTGAAGACATCTGCCTGCAGCCAGGAGGCCTCATAGAAATAGAATGCTTTGTCTTGCAGTGATGATGAAGGAATCCAAACTGACGAACATCCAGCAGCGCCACATCATGGACATCATGAAAAGTAAGGGGCAATTCACAGCGGCTTCCAGGCCAGAGGGATCTGGGGCCACATTCTTAATGCTTCTCCATGTTAAGGGAGAGAGGACCTCATTTAAAAAGACAAAGACAGGCCGGGCGCGGTGGCTCAAGCCTGTAATCCCAGCACTTTGGGAGGCCGAGGCGGGTGGATCACGAGGTCAAGAGATCGAGACCATCCTGGTCAACATGGTGAAACCCCGTCTCTAAAATACAAAAAATACAAAATACAAAATACTAAAATACAAAAAAATTAGCTGGGCATGGTGGCACTTGCCTGTAATCCCAGCTACTCAGGAGGCTGAGGCAGGATTGCCTGAACCCAGGAGGCAGAGGTTGCGGTGAGCCGAGATCACGCCATTGCACTCCAGCCTGGGTAACAAGAGCGAAACTCGATCTCAAAAAAAAAAAAAAGACAAAGACAGCCGGGCATTGTGGCTCATGCCTGTAATCCCAACACTTTGAAAGGCTGAGGTGGGAGAATGGCTTGAGACCAGCAGTTCAAGACCAGGCTGGGCAACACCGCAAGACCTCGTCTCTGCAAAAAAGAAATTTTTTTTTTTTTGAGAGGGAGTCTTGCTCTGTTGCCCAGGCTGGAGTGCAGTGGCACAATCTCGGATCAATGCAACCTTTGCCTCCCGGGTTCAAGCAATTCTCATGTCTCAGCCTCCTGAGTAGCTAGGATTACAGGCATGCGCCACCATGCCCAGCTTAATTTTTGTATTTTTAGTAGAGACAGGGTTTCACTATGTTGACCAGGCTGGTCTCGAAATCCTGACCTCGTGATCCACCTGTCTTGGCTTCCCAAGTGCTGGGATTCCAGGTGTGAGCCACTGTACCCGGTTCCCAAAATTTTTTAAAGTTAGCCAGGTGTAGTGGTGCAAACCTGCGGTCCCAGCTACTCAGGAGGCTGAGGTGGGAGGATCACTTGAGCCTAGGAGGTCGAGGCTGCAATGAGCTGTGTGATTGCACCACTGCACTCTAGCCTGGGCAACTGAGTGGAACATGATCTCAAAATAAATAAAATTAAATTAAAACAGGTCAGGTGTGGTGGCTCACAGCTGTAATCCTATCACTTTGGGAGGCTGAAGTGGGAAGATTGCTTGAGCCCAGGAATTCAAGACCAGCTTGGGCAAAACACATACATAATGGGGTGTGCCTGTGGTCCTAGCTACGTCAGGAAGCTGTAGCAGGAGGATCACATGAGCCCAGGAGTTCAAGGCCAGCCTGGACAACACAGTGAAATCAGTGTCTACAATAAAATTTTTTTCGTGTGACCAAAAAAAAAGAATATTTCTGACCCCTTGTTCCTGGGGAATTGACATTGTAGAGGCTGAACGGGCAGAAAAGGTAGACAGGCACAGATCAAAATAGGGGATGGGCCAGGCGTGGTGGCTCACGCCTGTAATCCCAGCACTTTGGGAGGCCGAGGTGGGTGGATCACCCAAGGTCAGTAGTTCAAGATCACCCTGGCCAACATGGTGAAACCCCATCTCTACTAAAAATGCAAAAATTAGCCAGGTATAGTGGCTACTTGGGAGGCTGGGGCAGAAGAATTGCTTAAAGCTGGGAGGCAGAGGTTGCAGTGAGCCAAGATCATGCCATTGTACTCCAGCCTGAGTGACAAGAGCAAAACTTTGTCTCAAAAAAAGAAGACAAAAATTAGCCAGGCATGGTGGCACACACCTGTAATCCCAGCTACTCAGGAGACTGAGGCACAAGAATTGCTTGAACCCAGGAGGTGGAGGTTGCAGAGGGCCAAGATCACATCACTGCACTCCAGCCTGGGGCGACAGAGCAAGATACTGTCTCAAAAAAAACAATGGTCCTGGTGGGGTGGCTCACACCTGTAATCCCAGCACTTTGGGAGGCCGAGACAGGCAGATCATGAGGTCAAGAGATCAAGACCATCCTGGCCAACATATTGAAACCGTCTCTACTAAAAATACCAACATTTAGCTGGGCATTGTGGCATGCGTCTGTAGTCCCAGCTACTCAGAAGGCTGAGGCAGGAGAATCGCTTGAGCCTGGGAGGTTGCAGTGAGCCAAGATCGCGCCACTGCATTCCAGCCTGGCAACAGAGTGAGACTGTCTCAAAAAAAAAAAAAAAAAGGAAAGAAAAAAATGGATGGGACCCACCATTGAGAGGTGAGTTCAACTGACCAGATAGGTGATACACTTGAGCCTATGGGAGGAGCCCCAGGCATGGCCAAGCAGGGGGATGGACAGCAGGAGAGAGAGGTACCTGCTACCATCCAAACCATCCCTCCCTGTCCATGGACCACGCAGAAAGTTTTCGGAAACCATCCATGGAAATAAAAGCACCAGCGCAAAGATTTGATGTACAAGAATGTTTATTGCAGCATTGTTTGTAGTAAAAAACAAACCAACCTAGAAATAACCTGAATTTCTGAAACTAGGAGGTGAGCTGAATAAATAATGTATCCATTCTAAGGATACTAGTATATAGTTATAAAAAATAAGTTATATATAAATGGATTGATCTAGAAAGATGTCCATGACAAAATGTTAAGTGAAAAGAGTCTGTTATTTTAATACATTACAGTATGATCCAGTGTTTGAAAGAATCTTATATGCACATATAAAATATATGCACATATATCTTTTTACGTGTTTATATAAGCATCAAAAAGGAAAGAGACCACTCAACTGTTACCAGCACTCATTCATTATAGATGGGTGGAATTGGAAGGAAGAAGAGAAGACTCCTTGACTGTTTGACTTGTTTTGGTTTTGGTTTTGGTTTTTTGAGATAGAGTCTCACTGCCGTCCAGGCTGTGCAGTGGCTCAGTCTTGGCTCACTGCAGCCTCCGCCTCCTGGGTTCAAGCAATTCTCCTGCCTCAGCCTTCCCAGTAGCTAGGATTACAGACACTCGTCACCACGCCCGACTAATTTTTTTGTTTTTTTTTTTTTTGGACATGACTACTGCAGTTCTGTTTTGTTTTTTTGTTTTGTTTTGTTTTTGAGACAGGATCTTGCTCCATCACCCAGGCTGGAGTGCAATGGTGCAATCTCGGCCCACTGCAACCTCTGCCTCCTGAGTTCAATTGATTCTCCCACCTCAGCCTCCCAAGTAGCTGAGATTACAGGCACCCGCCATCATGCTGAGCTAATTTTTGTATTTTTGTAGAGACTGGGTTTCATCATTTTGGCCAGGCTGGTCTTGAACTCCTGACCTCAGGTGATCCGCCTACCTTGGCCTCCCAAAGTGCTGAGATTACAGGCGTGAGCCACCATGCCTGGCCCGTTTGAGTTGTTTTAACAGGTAGGTATCACTTTTATCTTTAAAAAGTGGCGAGGCACAGTGGCTCATGCCTGTAATCTTAGCACTTTGGTAAACCAAGTTCAGTGGGTCACTTGAGGCCAGGAGTTCAAGACCAGCCTGGCCACCATGGCGTGTCTCTACTGAAAATATAAAAATTAGGCCGGGCACGGTAGCTCATGCCTATAATCCCAGCACTTTGGGAGGCTGAGGTGGGCAGATCACAAGGTCAGGAGATCGAGACCATTCTGGCCAACACGGTGGTGAAACCCCGTCTCTTTAAAAAAATATATCTATATATACACACACACACACACACACACACACACACACACACACACACACACAGTAGTCGAGCCTCGTAGTACACATCTGTAATCCCAGTTAGTTGAGAGGCTGAGGCAGGAAACTCGCTTGAACCCGGGAGGCGGAGGTTGCCATAAACCGAGATCACGCCACTGTACTCTAGCCTGCGTGACAGAGCAAGACTCAGACTCAAAAAAAAATTTTTAAAGCCATGTGAGTCGGCTGGGCATGGTGGCTCATGCCTGTAATCCCAGCACTTTGGGAGGCCGAGGCAGGCAGATCACCTGAGGTCCAGAGTTCAGGACCAGCCTGGCCAACATGGTGAAACCCTGTCTCTACTAAAAATACAAAAATTAGCCAGGTGTGGTAGCAGGTGCCTGTAATCTCAGCTACTTGGGAGGCTGAGGCAGGAGAATCACCTTAACCCAGGAGGCAGAGGTTGCAGTGAGCCAAGATTGCACCACTGCACTCCAGCCTGGGTGACAAGAGCAAGACTCTGTCTCAAAAAAAAAAAAAAAAGCCACGTGCATCCTCCCACTCCAACTCTTCCTTACCCAGGAGGAGACGCTTTGCCCCTACAGTGCAGCCCAACATCCAGCCAAAGGGTCTTACCTTCCAAGCAAATAGTCTCGCCCATCTACCTGCCTCCCATCCTGGCAGCCCGTCCCCACCTCCGGCCTGCCAGCATGTGCCAAGCCAATGGGGCCTACAGCCGGGAGCAGTTCAAACCTCGAGCCACCAGTAAGTGAGAGGCTCAGCTAGGGCCTTTCTCCATCTCCCTGGGGGAGGTCGGGGAGAGGGATGCAGGCAGCCCACAGGGCAGGTGGGAAGGTAGCTAATCAAATCCTCACGTACTTTGTACCCATGCCTTTGAGCCTCAGTACATGTTAGCTTGGGGGTATTCAGGGTACAGGGGAAACCAGTCATGTGGTCCTCTATTTTTATTTTTCCAGAACTCACAATTAATTGGAATCTACCAATTCCTGATGATAGGGGCTAGCAAGGCTCAAGGCCACAGCGCAACCCTCCCCAGATCCCCTACACAGAGGTTGCCACTACAGGCATCGCCAGGTCCCCAGGTTCCTGAGCTTTCTTTCTTAGCCTTGCTCTGCACCAAAGCAGCACGTGGGTTTTGACTAACTTTTTTTTTTTTTTTTGAGACGGAGTTTCGCCCTTGTTACCCAGGCTGGAGTGCAATGGTGCGATCTCGGCTCACCGCAACCTCCGCCTCCTGGGTTCAGGTAATTCTCCTGCCTCAGCCTCCTGAGTAGCTGGGATTACAGGCACGTGCCACCATGCCCAGCTAATGTTTTGTATTTTTGGTAGAGACGGGGTTTCACCATGTTGACCAGGATGGTCTCGATCTCTTGACCTCGTGATCCACCCGCCTCGGCCTCCCAAAGTGCTGGGATTACAGGCTTGAGCCACCGCGCCCGGCCTTTTTTTTTTTTTTTTTTTTGAGATGGAGTCTCGCTCTATCACCTAGACTGGAGTGCAGGGGCATGATCTCAGCTCACTGCAACCTCCACCTCCCAGGTTCAAGCAATTCTTCTGCCTCAGCCTCCTAAGCAGCTGGGACCACAGGTGCCTGCCACCGTGCCCAGCTAATTTTGTATTTTTAGTAGACATGGGGTTTCTCCGTGTTGGTCAGGCTGGTCTTGAACTCCTAACCTCAAGTGATCCGTGAATCTCTGCCTCCAAAAGTGCTGTGATGAAGTGAGCCACCATGCCGGCCTTTTTTTCTTTTTTAAGAGATGGGGTACTGGCCAGGCACGGTAGCTCATGCCTGTAATCCCAGCAGTTTGGGAGGCCAAGGCTGCCAGATCGCCTGAGCTAGTGTTCGAGACCAACCTGGGCATCATGGCAAAGCCCCATCTCTACTAAAATACACACACACACACACACACACACCACACACACACACACACACACACACACAATATTAGCTGGGCATGATGACGTGCATCTGTAGTCCCAGCTACTTGGGAGGCTGAGGTGGGAGGATGGCTTGAGCCTAGGAGGTTGCAGTAAGCCAAAATTGTGTCATTGCACCCCAGTCTGGGTGACACGAAATTGTGTCACTGCACTCTAGTCTGGGTGACAGAGTGTCTCGAGAGAGAGATGGGGGTCCCACTATATCCACAAGACTGATCTTGAACTCCTGGTCTTATGCGATCCTCCCACCTCAGCCTGCCAAAGTGTTGGAATTACAGACCATACCCGGCCTCTTTTCTTGGTTCTTCCAAGCTCTTCCTGCCTCTCTTGACATTATCGTATTGCTCAGGAGCACCCAGGGTAGGAGCCGGGTGTACAGAAGCCCTGTAGGCATGAGCCAGCACCCTGCAGCAAGCACACATACTTGGGAACACAGACCATGAATGAGGGTATCCTTCATGGCCTAACTAGGCTATTTCTTTTTGGCCCTACAGGGGATCTGGAGAAAGAGAAACAAAGACTCCAAAATATCTTTGCCACAGGGAAGGACCCAGAAGAACGGAAAAGAAAGGCCCGTCCTCGACGACAGGAAGCTCCGGCCCCCGAGCAGGACCGCTTTGAAGAGTGTAAGCCTCAGATGGGCCAGTCACGCTGGGGATGGGGGTAAGGTGAGGAGGGGGCCCAGAATTGGATGGAGCAGTCAGGGGATCACTGGGGGCCAACAAGTGAGAAACATTGTCTTTTTTTTTTTTTTGAGACAGAGTCTCCCTCTGTCACTCAGGCTAGAGTACAGTGGCGTGATCTGGGCACACGCAGCCTCCACCTCCCAGGTTCAAGTGATTCTCCTGCCTCAGCTGGCTGAGTAGCTGGGATTACAGGCTCGTGCCACCATGCCCTAATTTTTGTATTTTTAGTGGAGACAGTGTTTCACCATATTGGCCAGACTGGTGTCGAACTCCTGACATCAGGTGATCCGCCCGCCTTAGCCTCCCAAAGTGCTGGGATTACAAGCCACTGCGCCCAGCCTAGAACACTATTTGACAATAGAACCACTTCCTCTCCTCGAGAGAGGCAACCCGCTGCCCGCACCCCTCACGGGAGCCTGACAGCCCTCTCCTTTGTCCAGTGGTGAAGGAAATCCAGGAGAGGAAAGAATTCCTGGCTGACATGGAGGCCCTGGGACAGGGCAAGCGGTACCGAGGAATCATCCTTGCTGAAATCTCCCAGGTAGGAGAAACAACCGGGGAAGCTGGGAGAGAAGGGGCCCAGTGCAAGTACAAATGGAAACACAGGGCCAGCTTGGCAGGGGGCAGGGGGCAGGGGGCAGGCTCTAGCTCACAGCTGGAGCAGCCCCTCAGGTTCCTACCCCTGATGCACCCGCTTTTCCTGATGCCCTCTGCAGAAACTCCGGGAAATGGAAGACATTGACCACAAGAGGAGTGAGGACCTTAGGAAGGCTCTTGCCACCACTTAATCTGTCTCCAGGGGCAGGGACAGGGTAGCCCAAGCTCGACCACTGGAGTCCACTCCTCTGTCAAGCAGGGTCATCCTCAGGTCAGCGCACCCTACCAGCCTTCAGCCACTTCAGATGGCGGCACAGCACTGCCCTGCAGTTCCCTGAGGCATACTCAGCAGCCTAGCCCCTGCTCACGGGTGCCGTTGGAGCCTCTGAGATCCGCAGCCCCATCCACAGAGAAGCAAGGCCCGAGCGTTCCTACTTGGACGTGTGTCTAACGGTATCCACTGGGCCTGCTTCCCACCACCTCCGGCCCGCGGCCTGTTCATTTAGCTTTCAAATTCAGGAATGAATAGGATTCTCTTCTTCCTGTTTTAGGATTTACTTATTTGCTTTCTTACCACCTGAGGCAAATATTCAACCGCAATGATGAACTGGGCAATAAAGCGTATTTAACATGGGTCATCACAAGCACCATTTTGTTTTCAGAGGGACAAGCTTATTTGTTCAAGGCATTAGAATCTGCTGAGCATGAATGGTTTCTAGCTGCCTGTCTGCATATTTCAAGTGGAAATGGGAACCAACCTCGTGGGCACCCCGTGGCTAGGCGCCGTGGCAGCTGCTGAGTTCCACTGTCAATGATCTCAATAAACCTCTGCAATGGTTCATTCTCCCGCTGTGAAAACTAAGTCTCAACCAGATACTACAACCACGGGCAGTTAACTGGCAAGCAGTGCACTCAGGATTAAAAGCTCGCTTTAACTATGTCTTCCCACTATTCCCATGGCCACAGAAAGAAACACGAAAGGGTGCGAGGGACCCAGAGCCCTGGCCTGCGAGTTCCAATCCGAGCATGTGCCATGTGACCTTTCTTGGGCAAAACCCAGCAGCTTCTCCTCTGTGAGGCCCTGCTGTGAAGGAGTCACCCGACACCTTGTCCTGTACATAGCACATCTGTCCCCTTCCCCTCTGGCTCCTTCGCCTATGATCCCTACCTTCTCCAGTATTGTCATTTGCCTGGCCCAGTAAATCACCGAAATATTTTGGAAATACCAACCCTGTCTCGGGCACCTGGAGGGAGTCCCATAATCCTATCAGGTCACATGACCCAGGTTTTGGTTTGCAGAATAAACACAGCCCTGTAAGTGGTGGGGCCCTGATCCAGGGCTGGCTCAGGGACATCCCAGGGAAAGCCTCTGTGTCCGCACACCCTCAACGGTGCAATCTGATGGGAACAGTTGTCCTCCACCTGGAAGGCCCCATCATGTGGTCAGGAAGCAGCAAACCAGAGAACCCCAGGACAAACCCAGCCCACCCTGGACACAGAGCATCAGCCAACCCTTGATTTAAATTCAGGCTAGCTTTCAGCATTTACAAATGACACACACATAAAATCTGGATTTCTAGCTTCTGATGAAAAACAAAGGATCTGGCAACACTGGCCGCACATTCAGCTCCACAGGCCGCGTGCCTTGAGTGCGGGAGGTGGCCCTTTGAGCTGTCTCCAGTTCACCCCTGCCCGTCAGCTTAGTCCCCTGACACCGAAACGGTTCGCCAGAGCTCTGTCCCTTGGGCTCCCGTGTTACCTGTCTGGCCCTGGGAAGGTCTTGGAGTTGGTGGCTCCAGCTCCAGGCCAACAGGCATGTTTAGAAGGATCCTGCCAGGGGCTGCATGGCCCAGGAGCCACCTCTCCCTGCAGAGGAAAAGGGATCCTACCCAATGGCAGACAGCGAGGACAAAGGCCCCTCTCGGAACACGGCCCCAACATGGCCTCTGGGCGACCAGAGATGCCCAGCCACCAGGTATGGCAGGGGCAGGCAGGAGGGCAGACAGGGCTGCCGCCGTGGCCTGAGGCTGCAGGGCACTGGCAGTTGAGGTTGTCTCTGTTTATTGGTGAGGAAACTCCTCTAGAGTCAATACAGTGTGATCTTTTCCCAGAGGTGTGCAGAGGGAAGGGGGCCTAGAGGTGTCCTGGAGATAGCTTATAGCAACAGTGCTTTGACCAAGAGCTGCTGGACACATTTCCTGCAGAAAAGGTGGTGGTCCCCATCACTCCTCCTCTCCCACAGCCATCCCAGAGGGGTGAGTGGCCATCAGGCCTTCGGTGGGAGTGAGTCAGGGAGAGAACAGACAGAGGAGACGGACTAGTGATGAGCACAGATGGGAGCGAGCCTGTCCCCTGGACTGCGGTGGCAGAGAAAAGCCTCAGTGAGGGGTCAGACTACAGATGTTAAGGAACCGAGAGGAGCACCTGCTTCAAGTGCACCCTCCCTACCTGACAGGCAGGGACCAGACTGCAGCCGGGGGGCCACACTGGGGGCAGCTAACAGGGCACCCACCTGCCCTGCATGGCATGGCAGCCCTGGACCTGGCAAGGGAGACGAGGAAGCCTCTCCTGCAACTGTGAGGGAGAGAGGGATGGATCTGCCCGTCAGGCCCATTCACATCTGACAGTACAGACCACTTAGTCACAAACTCAGACTGGAGACTTCAGAAACAGAGCTCCTGAGTGAGGGAAACTGAGACCCAGAGGCACCTGCACAGGACAGGAAGACAGATTCAGAGCCAGGGCCGGGACGGGAAGAAGCCAGTGTGGCCCAGCGCCCCTTGCTGGTCTGCCTGGAAGAGCAGAACCCTGGAGGCAAAGACCACGGCCAGAGCTCATGGCAGGGGCTGGGCAGGGTGAGGGGGCAGATGTGCTCAGCCGGCGCCCCTCCCTGGACCCTGGGACCCTGTTTGCCCCTTAGCATCTGGAGTCACAGCATCTGGAGTCATCAGAATCAGGTTGGGCAGGGCTGAGTCACCACTGCCTGGGACTCAGAGAAGAAGAGATTCTTTGGCCCAGAGCAGTCAGAGGCCCCTGAGGAGGGAGAGGCCATCGCCCAGCGGCTCCTTCCCCTTAGTCATCTTCCTCCTGACTGATCTGAGGTGGGTAGGGCACCCCTTCAAAAGAGCACAGCCCAGGGTTTGGTCCAGGAAGGGGTGGTCCCCAACTGGCTTCTCATGCTGTTAGCTCTTGTCTCTGGGGGACTTGCTCTTGGTATCACGTTTGTTTCCTAGCAGTTTCAGTACCTTCATGGTCTTGAACTTCCCCTTCTTCTTGCCTTCGGGTTCAGCCTCCCTCTGGAACTCTGCAGCACAGAGAGGGGAGCACTTAACCAAGTGGAGAAGCCAGATCCATCCAGGGCAGGCTAAAGGCAGTGACATAAGCCCCGGCGTGGCCAGCAGGGCTCAGCCCAGCCCCCCGACTTCCTGTTTGGAGCCTGGGACAAGTCACCTTTCCCAGCCTCTGTCTCTTCACCTAGACGATGGGGCCTACCCTCCCTATCCCTGCCTCCAGTGTTTGGGGAAAGATCAGGATGGTCACAGTTCTGCAGATTCCGGGAATTCTGAAGCATGGCATCCATTTATCTTTTTTTTTTTTTTTTTTTTTGAAATGGAGTCTCGCTCTGTCACCCAGGCTGGAGTGCAATGGCGGGATCTTGGCTCACTGCAACCTCCGCCTCCCGGGTTCAAGCAATTTTCCTGCCTTGGCCTCTCAAGTAGCTGGGATTACAGGCATGTAATTACCACACCCAGCTAATTTTTATATTTTTAGTAGAGACGGAGTTTTCACCATGTTGGCCAGGCTGGTCTCAAACTCCTGACCTCAGGCAATTGGCCCACCTCTGCCTCCCAAAGTGCTGGGATTACAGCCATGAGCCACCATGCCCCGCCCCATTTATCTTTAAAAAGCTAGATTTGGGCCAGGCACGGTGGCTCATGCCTGTAATCCCTGCACTTTGGGAGGCCAAGACGGGAGGATCATGAGGTCAGAAGTTCAAGACCAGCCTGGCCACAAGACCAGCCTGGCCAATATGGTGAAACCCATCTCTACGAAAAATACAAAAATTAGCCAGGCGTGGTGGCACGTGCCTGTAATCCCAGCTACTTGGGAGGCTGGGGCAGAAGAATTGCTTGAACCCAGAGAATCACTTAAACCCGAGAGGCAGAGGTTGCAGTGAGCCAAGATCGCGCCTTTGCACTCCAGCCTGGACAACAGAGCAAGATTCTGATTCAAAAAATAAATAAATAATAAATAAATAAATAAATAAAAGGATAAATTCACCCAGGCTGGTGCCTGCAGCTCTCTTACTTACAACACAAACGCGGTCAGAGCAATAGAACCCTTCAAAATCAACTGTCCAAGCCCCTAATTTTATAGACAAGGAAAATGTGGGCCTTAGAAATGGACTAATACCAACTCAGCTCTTTGCAGGGCCAGGGCCTCAGCTAAACTTTACACATTATCTCAGTGATCCCCAGCACATGCCTGGGAGAGGGTGCCATTTTCACTTCCATTCTGCAGATATGAAGAATGAGACCAAAGTGGTGGAGTGGCTGGCTCCAAGTCACCCAGCTCATAAGTGCCAGAGATAGGACTAGAACTCAAGTAGTCTGACTTGGCCTGAATCAAGACCTAACCACAAGGCTACAAAATGAGTTACTGGTGAAACCAAGATCAATCCCAAATCCTGGTCAGGCACAGTGGCTCATGCCTGTAATCCCAGCACTTTGGGAGGCCAAGGTGGGCAAACTGCTTGAGGCCAGGAGTTTGAGGCCAGCCTGGCCAACATGGTGAAACCCCATTTCTACTAAAAATACAAAAAAATTCGCCAGGTGTGGTGGCGCATGCCTGTAGTCCCAGCAACTCGGGAGGCTGAGGCAAGAGAATCGCTTGAACCCAGGAGGCAGAAGATGCAGTGAGCTGAGATCACACCACTGCACTCCAGCCTGGGCAACAGAGTGGGACTCTGTCTCAAAACAAAAAAACCCAAATTCTTTGACTCCTAGTCCGGGACTCTTTTAACTGTTTCAAGCACCACTTGGTCCCCAGGAAGCATTGCCGTTTGAGCCCACAGACTCCAACAAAACCAGCTGCAGGTCTCAAGGGGGAATGCACAGCTGAGGGCAAAGATACCCTGGGAATGTATACCTCCTGTATGCCATAGTCCTCTCTGTGGGCATCAGGGCATCCCATGGCTACCTGCCAAGCCTAAGCCGCAGCCTTCCTGGCTGTAGGCTGGCCTCTCTTGCTACACGCAGCCTTCCCTGCAAAACAGGCTGCAGAGTTTGTGCCCAGGAGTGCCTGGTAGTGCCCATCCTGGTAGTGCCCACTCCAAACCTCCCTTCAACCGATCCCTCCCCTCCACCCCCAATGCCAAAGTTCAAGTGGGCACCAGCCTCATCCCCAGCAAGGGCCTCACCTTTCTTCTTGATCATGGCTTCCAGCATCTTGTCTTCCTCTTCCTCCCTGAAATAAGCAGCAGCAGTTGAGTGTCCCACAGGAGGATGGAGCAGATACCCTCTGTCCCTACAGGGCTGAGCCAGGGTGCACTGGGATCGCTGGTAGGAGGGCAGGGCTGGCCTGGCCCAATGTGTGGACTGTGTCTTGGCCTCTCCAGGGAGCTGCCCCACCCATGGGGCCCTGGGCCTGGCCTGCTCTGACCCTGTCCCCCAGGAGCCCCTACCCTGGCCATGTCACCTCTGCCGGTCCTCATCCAGGCAGTTGATGATGGCGTTGCGCTGCTCAATGAGGGTCACGAGCTCCTGCATCAGCACCTTCTCCCGGCCCCGGTCCTCTTCCGTCCAGTCCTTTTCTGGAGAAAAGTTGGAGGGGTGTGAGTGGTG